TTACTTTCGTTATTATTTTTCAAAGCACATAAAGCAAAGAAGTTCGACATAGTACCTGAACAAGGGCGTTGTGCTTAGACGAGTCCCTCCGTTGAGTCCTTTTCCAGCACTCTAGCAGCTTGGTGATGGTTGTACACACACCTGCACCGATGCATGAAAGTATACTTAGAATATGGATGAGTATAGGTTTACTTACGCCAACATTGAAAAAAGAAACAAAAAAGAGAAAGAAAAGAAGAGGAACAGAAGCGAAACAGTAGGGAAGAAAAGAGTGCGCTGTGCGCTGTTGATGTTGCGTTCGCTATTTCGCAATCGCGAATGCATGCGCTCTCAAAGTCCTGCGGAATTGCTGGCAGGTCAAAGTGCTGCGGAAACCTTGCGAGCCTCACTGCACTTTCGCAGCGCATTATGGAAAGTGCTGCGGAAGTTCCGGTTTACGGTCGCTGTGACGTCAATTTCCTGCGGAAACCTCGCATTTTGGAGCATGCACTTTCTCAATGGTTAAGGCATGCGTTGTTCCCATGCGAAAGGGAGTACGTAGTGGACATTGCCTGCATTGTGAAGAGAGCGAATCGAATCATTGCCTTTCCTCTTTTTTAGGGCCAAAAATAGTAAAGATAAACTAATGGATGTAGCGCTTCAACATACCTGTCAAGCGTCTTTTGCATTGGCGACATGTTTTTTATTTTGTTATTGTTGTTGGTTCATTGTTGTTGTTCTCCTACTAGCTTTATGCCAGGGATTTCGTAAGAATTCGCGAAGCAATGGGGACTTTGTTCTCATAAATCTTCCAAACCAACGCACGTCGGGCCCTGCTCCCGAGCTTTATGCCGTTGCTAGCATTACAACAAGATCTCTATTCAGCGGTATACTGGCTAACCGATAATAGATAGGAGAAGATGCACAGACTTTTAGAATGCGATTTTCACATTTTTTCACTCCTCGGAGCGAAAAGTGAACATGATGAGGTAACGAGCAACAAATTGCTTCTTCAACTAATCAAATCATCAACGAGATACAAAGAAGACGTTTGTAATGATAGCCAAAAATACCCGTTGTCCAGCTGCTTATCGATTCATTTCATCTAGTGTAAGTTTTCTTCAAACGAAGTCTTGAGTTGACAAACGCTTTATTACACTGCACAGACTAAAAAATGCAAGTTTTCTTAATTTCGTTTATTTCTGGCATCTTATAGTCTTTCCAAATTGGTGGCTCCTGAAAAAAAAAACTGCAGATATATCTGCTTTAGTTTTCGTATGAGCGAAGTGCTAAGAAGGGAGTTGTTAGTGACTTCAACTGAATTAATCGTAAATGTACGAATGCAAAGCCAAGTTTTTGCAAAAATTTGCAAAACTTTTACAGTCAGGAAATGACGGGTCCATTATCTTCTTGTTTCCAAATGCACAAAGTATTAGATTGTCAAGAAAATAATGTCGTTTTTTATTTGCTTGCTTTAACAAAAACACCAGACTCAACCCAACAAAGGATAATATGCACTGTTCGATAGAGCAAAGCAAGCTCTACAAGATGGCCTCCATGATTTTGCGACAAACTCGATCCACGGAAAGTCCGAAATCAAAATCTGAAGATCTCCAAATGACCAAAAAATCGAAAAAAAAATCAGATCTTCGTCCAAATAATTTCTACGGACCTCCCACTCGCACTCATCAGTACTTACGATAAGTGAGACCGATATGTGCAGTTGCTGTATTTTCTCCTTGACTAGAAACTGAGAAAACGAAGATTTTCGTGTTTTTTTTGCAAGCAATGCTGAGCCGTTCTTGCATATGTGATTCTATACTACAAGCCTAGTTAAGTATAACTGTAGATTTTCAGCCCATTCCGAGCGGCACTTTTCGAGAAATGCCGCTTTCAGCACTGAAACTGAAACGAAGAAAGCTGATTTCGATATTTCTCGAAAACTACCGCTCGGAATGGGCTGAAAATCTACAGTTATACTTAACTAGGCTTGTAGGTATAGAATCACATATGCAAGAACGGCTCAGCATTGCTTTTGGAAAAACACGAAAACCTTCGTTTTCTCAGTTTCTAGTCAAGGAAAAAATACAGCAACTGCACCTAGGGGTACCACTCATCGAAATTACTGATGAGTGCGAGTGGGAGGTCCGTAGAAATTATTTGGACGAAGATCTGATTTTTTTCGATTTTTTGGTCATTTGGAAATCTTCAGATTTTGAGTTCGAACTTTTCGTGGATCGAGTTTGTCGCAAAATTATGAAGGCCATCTTGTAGAGCTTGCTTTTCTCTATCGAACAGTACCTATTACTCTTTGTTGGGTTGAGTTTGGTTGCTTTGTTAAAGCAAACAAATAAAAAACGACATTATTTTCTTGACAACCTAATATAAAGATGGTTTTCATGTGGTCTGAGTTCTTAGAAGTGGTGAAACTCGGAAATTATTTTACCCCATGATGTCTTCTTACAAACATTCTTACAAGGGAAGCATGTTTAGTTAAAGTGGCCCTTTCATATGGGATGTATGCGATCATGAAGAGCATAAAACGCTAATTCCAAATCTGCCTTTCCTATCTGAGGAACACTTGTGGGCGAGGAGTTATGAATTTATTGAAGAAATCAAAGAGAATTTAAGATAAAATGAGTTGACAAAATTTTACTAGCTTTCAAATAAAGCAATTGTGTATGATATATTTTTCATCCTAGAGTATTTATTGAATAAAGTGCTCTGACATTCATCACTGCTCTATCAAAGGTTTTGAAAAAAAATCAAAATTTGTCTTACCCTTTGATTCAACTGGGTTGGCGGCTGGAAGGCGGGCTTCGTAACCTGATTGAGGCTAAGTAATTATCAGAGAGTACGCGTGCGGGAGAGACGCAGACTGCGTCGCGGGCGCAAGCGGCCTGAACTAGGTCACAAAGCCCCACCTTCCAGCAGCCAAGTCTGTTGAATCAAAGGTCACTTGCACAATTAATTTTTTTTCTGGTGAACGCTCATAACTCCTCGTCCATAAAGGTTCCGCAGCTTAGAAAGGCATATCTGGAATCAGCATTGTATTTCCCCTAGTGTGGTATAATTCCCATCCAAAAAGGCTGCTTTGACTAAACATGCTTCCCTTGTTTTGTACAAAATTGGCAGGCCCCAATCTAGGCGAAAGAAGCTTATTGGCTAGAGAATCGAACTCACAACCTCTTCCTAGGCTCCTGAAAAGCGAGAACGTGCCTAACACATGTGTATAATCAATCAAAGTTTTTTTATACGCTGCACAACCTTTTGATGAAAGAGAACCGAGCAGTGTTCTCTTGGAGGGAAACCCACTCTCATTTTCAGCGGTTATTCTATGTTACACAGTATTTAATTACTACTCTTACCGTTAGATTCAACATTTACGGAGAGAGGAATTTGATGTTCATCTGAAACATTACAGTAAATAAACTTTAAAGCAAGGACGATTTTGCCAACTTTGAATTTTAAGAGATCTGGTTTTTGTAGGTTTGATTAGTTTAATTTGATTGTAAAGCTGTACTGCATTGCTATTCCAAGCTCTTCTTAAATATTCACTTTACTTTATTTTGCGACTAGAATGTACACAACACATGGGGCGCAGAATTTAGTAAAGTGAATAGCTGAATAAATGATAAAACTGTGGCAATCTATGGATACCAACAAATCTTTGCGTTTTTGTGCTCCTTGTTCTCTTAGATGATCTGCTCTCTTTTAGCAATAGTTATTCCTCTGAACACCATCGGATTTCAGATTTGCTGTTTTTTCTCGAAGTCTTGCTCCATCCAGCAGGTTTTGCCCTTTACGTTTACTAGTTCTATACATTTCGCTCTTGTTTGACTATTTTTTGACTTTTTGACTACTTTTCTTTTGCTTTCTTTTGACTACCACTCAATACTCTGCTGTCACTCCTTTAGCAGATCATTCGCTGTTCGAATTTGAAACATTTTTGGGACATTAAGTAACCACATATACTTTGCAAGACATTTGCAGTCTCATACTCTACTTTCACTCTACATATTCTTCAAATGATGGAGAAAATAAAAGATCTGTTTTTGAGTCCTTGCCGCTTAGATGACCATCAATGGATAGATATCACAAGTACGAGTACCTGGACCCTTTCTAATGTCATCATTGTGCCGGGGGCGGGGGAGGGGGGGGGACAAAAATTTTTCCTTATGATGGTGCGTGGCGTTAGCCATGCATTTTTGCATTTATGCGAAATTTTTGCGCGCCCATAACCCCGAGCCACGCCCCGAAGAAATTTTTTGAAAAGTTGAGCTGAATTTTTATATTTTTATCAATTGTTGCAAATATAAAAAAGTCGCTTGCACATTTTTATAACTCACTTAAGAACTTCCAAAAATTTCGCGACACATTCTCTGGGGGGGGGGGGGGGGAGGAGGGGGGAGCACGCCACCGCACTTTATCTATATACATATTTTATAGAAATGTGAACAGTCGAGAAGTTCGTCAATGCGCAGGCTTTGACAGTAGGATGATTTCAAAAAAAATTTTTGAATCTTTAAAACGTTTTCTCAAGACTTTCCTTGGTCCTTAGCTGAATACAACAAAAATTGGGATGATCTAACAATATAATCTCGCTGGGTAAACAGAGTTAATTTTTTTCGAAATCTCTCAGACATCTTTGTAGGCCATGGAGGCACTTTTATCCATAGTGGAACTGTCAAACTATTTTTGTTTATACTTTATGAAATTCATGTGAACCTTCCAAGCGATCACCCAGTTTTGCTGACGATTCGAAGAAAAAGTAGCATCGATTTGCGTCTTCGCAATATTCGCGTCCTTATCATATGTGTTTTCGTGTACACAGTAGAAATCAATTATTTTTATTACATTATTTTCATTAGATGTTGTTGCAGCACTATTTCGGTTATTTTTTTCTTGAATTCAGATATGATTTATCATCTAAAAAACCTGATATCGACGTTATGAAATCTGAATACTCTACCTACCTAGCTGTTATCTAATGAACCTCTTAAAAGAAGAAAATCACTGCAGATGTTCTCAACTTGGCTTCTGCTCCCAACTCTATTCATACCTCTATCGTTAGCTCAAGTCCTCAAGCTTACACCCGGGAAAATCCTGGGATTCGATTACAAAACCAAAGATGGAGCGCAGGCAGAAGTCTACCTTGGTATACCTTATGCCAGAGCTCCTGTAGGGGAGCTGAGATTCGAGGTAAGGACTCCCTTATCTGTTCATAGAAACTTTAGCTTTTTATTTTCCAGAGGCCCAAGCCTCCCGAACCATGGAACGACATTAGAGACTGTAGAGATTTTGCTCCAATTTGCTATCCTATAGTACTAGAAGCAGTGGCTGCTGGAGAAGAAGCGAGCGAGGACTGCCTCATGCTCAACATTATTCGCCCCAAAAAAGAGGTCCGTTTACAATATTACACTTAATTGTCCTGCTTTATGATCTTGTAATTTTTCAGGCCCCAGAGGGTGGATTTCCAATATTATTTTGGGTACATGGAGGTGCTTACGAAATGGGTTCTGCTGTGGAATGCGGTTACCAAGGCTTTGCTGATATCTATGTGCCCAATGACATCATTGTTGTCACTATTCAGTATCGGCTAAGTATTTATGGTAAGATTCTACCAACCGATTAGTATTATTCACAAGGGTGCAATAGTGCAAGTGGGTTGTTTTCACATAGCCAAAATAATTATTGAACCCATCCATCAATTAAATTAGCTTTGCACAAATCTCTCTCGAGAGCTTACCACGATGTCCTTTTTTTCGAAATTTCATTATTAGTCCACTAAATAGTTGGAAGCAGGGCTCGGCACGAGGTGGCTAGATGAAAATGGAAAAAACGAAGTCCCCCTTGACTTTTGGGAATTTTCACGAAGTCCCCTTTGACCCTCAACCAAATTTCCTCTAAAAACCTAAAAATTCCCCAAAATCCCCCAAAAAACGAAACGTCGACTAAAAAAAAAAGGTCGCCGTCGCCAATTTTCCGTGTCTCTTCGGTCACAAAAACGAAACCCCCTTTGCTTTTCGTCCCAAAAACGATATCCAGCTTGCTTGTAAGCCACCTGTGCCGAGCCCTGGTTGGAAGGAATCCCATGTTCCCTCATTCGGAAATTTTTTAAATGTTTCTCTCTCCCCCCCCCCCCCCCCCCCTCCCCTCCCAAAGTACGAAGCTTGGACCGTTACTCGTAAGCGTGTCTTCCCAATAAATTATTGGTAAACTTGAATTAATCGTCTCATAAAAATTTTTGATGCTGAGCTTTGTAGACATGACAGTTTTTGGTTTTGTAATGATTTAGTGATTTTGAAAGGTTTGAATCCAGTCATTAATTATATAATTAGACGGCACCAGCATCTCTTTACGTCCTCTGCACAAAGTAAACTTATTGTAAAAAATTGTGGTTTGCATTTAGGATTCTTTTCAACGGGTGATGATCGTATAAAAGGGAACATGGGTTTGTATGATATGGCTGAAGCACTAAAGGTGAGGTTGCTCTTGAATTTTTACTCTAAACCATGACTATTTGATTAAAACATCCCACTCATCGCTACAGTTTGTGCACGACAACGCAGCGAATATCGGAGGAGATCCATCAAGAATTACCGTATGGGGACATAGCGCAGGATCTGCCTCTGTCAGTCTGCTCATCCTTAGCCCAGTTACGAGAGGTATGTGGTACATGTGTGTAATCGGAATTTTTATAGTAGAAGTGGCTTTTCAAGACCGAAAATGTCTGTTTTGTGAAACATTTGCACATTTTTCTCTTGATCTACCTCTTTGTTTCAACAAAAAGGGAAGGGGATGTCGGACGTAGGGGAAGAAAGGGGTTTGCGAAAGTAACCCTCATGAGTGAAACTCCAGCTTCACAGAAAATTTGAACATTTTAATGATGTTCACTAATTTTGTTAGGTGAAATCATGACAAATGAATATTTCTAATGTCGTATCACCATCCAATTTATAATATTACGTGCTCTTTGGCCTACTGACATTACAAAGAGAAAACAGCCTAGAATTTTGTATTTGATTCATGCTAAATAAATCTTTCTTCTCATATCAATCATTGGCAGCCCTCTTTGAAAAAAGGACATGACAGATTTCTGTACTTTCTATTAGTGCTTTCTAATCATGCAATCCATTGAGTCAAATTTTGTGAATTTTCACAGTTTTCTAGTGATGAAAGTTTACTAATTTTCTCTAATTTATCAACGTGTTCTTGTTTGTTCGAAGTACGACTTCTTGTATTGTAAATTATACAAAACTGCTTTGCAGGATATGTTCGACGTTCCATTGAAATGTCCGGTTCACCATGGGCATCTTGGGCTTTGGGACCAAAAGTAGCTGATAACTCACTGGCATTGGCAAAGGTAACGTCACGTTTTTAGATCTATTGCAGATTCTCTTTCTGGGTTAATCTTGACTGAGAATTAATTTTAAGTCAATTCAGAGAATTATTGCAGGAGCTAGGGTGCCAGGAAGATGTCAAAAAATGCATGCAACAAAAATCTGCAGAAGAGATCTACGATGGCATCAAAAAAGTGGTGAGCACCATTGATTTGACTAATTTCCATTCAACATGGACTCCTTGCATATACACCTTCACAATTTTTGTTGCTCAATTTAATTTTTGTATTTTTTATGGCGCCACTACGAAGGGTCTGCGATTTATCAAATGGGGCGCTGTGATTGATGGAGAATTTGTACAAGAACCAGAAGTGATGGTTGCTGATGCGCCACCAAAAATGTCCATTGTTGGATCGACAAACAAAGAGGCCGCTCTTTTCAGTAAGCTTTGACGCTATAAGATTCCAAAGTGTTCGTAAAATTGTTGAAACACTTAAGAACAAAAAGCAAAATTTCATTCAAAAATTTTCGTATGTGCATATTTGGGGTGGCATTAGTCACATAGCATTCCGAATTGATTTATTCGGCACTCTGAAATATTTAGAGACGGAGTGTTTTTGAGTCTATTAATGACCTGTACAGGTCTTCTGGGCACAAAACCTTTCCGATATTTCCACAGCCTCTATGTCGCCCCGGAGGACTACAAAAACTGGAGTAAGCAACGGTTGATCAAAAAGTTGAAGGTATTGCTTCAAGCACTAAATCAGTCTAACCCAAAGTACGGTAAATTTAGAGGCTTGTAGAAAAAGAATACATTGGGGGTCACCTCGATGAGCTGATGGACGAAATTATTCGCTTCTATGTGGACAGAGGTGAAGAGGAAAATAATGAGATCTACCTTGATAGATACACAGAGGTTGGGTCTTGCTTTATTGGGTTCCTTATTTTCTAATCATGGAAGGTTTTCAGTTCCTCAGCGATGTATTTTTCAATGTACCAGTAGCAAATGGTGTCCTAGCTCGTCGAGCTGCTGGATGGGATATTTATGCCTACTACCTGGACCACTATAATGATGCCATATGGGATGGCAAAGTGCCAAAGAAGCTGCGAGGTCTGGAGATGTTGAAGGCACTATTCCCGTGTGCTTCGCAGTTTTTTGCTGAACTTTTCAGGAGCCCCACATTTTGCTGAATTCCCTTACGTAAACGGTGTGGGACGTCTTGCTAAGTATGACTTCACCAAGAAAGAACAAGTGGTAGCGGATGTTTTCCGACAATCATTTGCTTCTTTTGTCAAAAATGGGTACGCGAAAATTCGATCTATCCTTACACATTTTCAAGCTGCACAACTCTAGAGCACCGACAAACAATCATGAAGTTTGGCTAGATATTGGTACAGAAGATTTCCTTCGTTACCTAAGAGTCACCCCAGATCCCGAGATGAGGGATGGGTTCCACAATGGTAAGATGGATTCTACTCTAATCAGAAACAATAATTGTAAGAAAATACTTTTTCAGATTCTCTTACCTTTTGGCATGCAACTCGCAGATTCGGATTCGATGTGACTAATCTGCAACCAGTGAAAAAAGACGAGGAAACCAAGGAGACCAAGCAGGAGCTGTAGAATCGGACTGAATACGGGCTCAGAACACAATCGGTTCATGTTATAGTACCACAATCACTTCTTGTCGGTATTTCCAATGATATAAAACTGATTTATCAGATAGGATAGATAAAGAAATAAAGAGACTTTATTGCTGAAAACATCGTGAAATTCATCTAGCCTAGTGCTGTAGGTAACCGCAAAACTGTGATTGATACGGCACTCAGGATGGGTGGAAATTTATAGGCTAACAAAATTTCGTCGAGCTTGAGATACCATTCTGCAGAGCGAGGTCCATTCTAAATCTACAGTATAAAGCGAATTACCGATCGCTCTTCGTTATCGTAGACGGTAGGAACTTCGACAAGGGTTTTAGACCGATGTAGGCCATACTCTGCCTCGGAATAAAACCAAACAAGCCAGAAACTCTTATACTATGGTAAAGAAAGCCGCTAAATCCGATGAAGTTTCTACTTTACTGTGATGCTTCTTCCAAAGTTATCTCAGGTAAACCGTAATAAGTGAGTTCCCAAAATTTGTCAAAAATGTGATAACACCATCAAAATAGCTAAGAACACTCGTAAAAAGTTGTGTAGTGAAATCAGCCTGCGCAAAAACCTCAGTACACGATTTTTCAGGTTTTTAGAAAAAAGATTTTGTCAGATGACATATTTCTAAATGGTTCCACCGCTAGAATTTACAGTAATCCTAAAGTAACGAAGAGCGATTGGTGATTTGCTCTATGCTTATATCTAAGTTGAACCTCTCTTTACAAAAGAGTGCCTCAAGATCGATGGAAAACATGAAAGCAAGGGAATTATTAACGATCAAATAGTGTTCCATTTCTTGGGACATCCTGTATAGATGCAATGATAGAGGTAGTATGCTAGGAAGCGCTTGAGGGGAAATATCAATATCCACAGCAAGTGAATCTGAGTGTATTTAATAGTTCAGCAGCTTTTAGGAGTCAATGCTGCGTGATTCTTGGAGCTTTTTGTGGAAGGTGTTATGGCTTGAGAAGGGCTCTCCAGTGATTTTACACTATCCGAGAGAAGAAATTGAGAAGTACCATACAATTACAGCTAAAGTGCGGTTCATAATTATACGAACACCCAAAAAATGTGTAAGTTTTCGGACTTTGGGAGGGACTCAAAAAGTCGTTGGTGCCACGCGATAGAACACAGCCGAAAACGGTATATGATCCATAAGAATGAAAATTGGTGTCAATCCTAGAAATGTTTTTGCGCCTAAAGCGAATTTTTAGCAGTTCATAATTATACGGACACCTCGAACAAAGGTCCATTTTTCATTCAAGATTGCAATCATTTGAGTCCAGTTTGAGTCCAAATTTTTTGTAAAGTTACAGTAACAAAGTCTGACATATCTGCTACACACTGAACCCAGTGCACTTTACGAAGAGGACCGTTACTTTTTTCAGAAGGCTCTAAATGCTTTTGGAGTGATTGCGCTCCAAAAACATCCGTTCTTCTGTGGTTTACGCGCTCTAATTAGCTTCTACCAAAGCTATGAGATAAATTAAGCTCTTTCGATAGGTATTTTGTTTGACGCTTGGAAAATCTTTGCGTTTTCGTGCCGTATTTCATCCAAGTTCCAACCTTACCACAGCGTTAGCACGATTTCGAGCCTCAAAACTCAGCTTTCGAAGTCGTACAATGAAGTAAGCATACAGTCTGTAGAAGTTCACAAGACTGTATATTTGGCTAGAAATAGCAGCGTTGAGCGTTTGTTTTGGCCACGCAGACGTCATTTCACCAAAAACACTGTTTTTACTATTGCAGTCACACCTTATTTGGTTTGTAGCTCCACAGCCTCGAGATCAGTTCTGCAAAAAACCCAAAAACTTTGCCACGGATACATCATCATGCAAACAATGCAGCTGCTTCATATCAAGTGTTTACGCGAGAGAGAAGCTGAGTTTTGAGGCTCGAAATCGTGCTAACTCTAGGGTGAGGTTGGAACTTGGTTGAAAAACGGCACGTAACGGTCTTCTTTTTAAACTGCACTGGGTTCAGTGTGTAGCAGATGTTTCAGACTTTGTTACTGTAACTCTACAAAAAATTCGGACTCAAATGATTGCAATCTTGAGTGAAAAATGGACCTTTGTCTGAGTTGTTCGTATAATTATGAACCGCACTTTATATTAGGTTGAACCGAAAGTTCTGTCACACCATCTTCAAAAAATCATAACTTCTTTCTCTTACGACGATTTTGCGCAGTTCAAATTTTGCCTGAAAGCGCAAAGCATGTAGTTCCCAAAATTCTCCTGGTAGCTTTCCAACCTGCTCAAGTGCAGAGATAAAAATGAAAGAACGAGATCATCCGAAATTCGGAATTTTCCTAAAAATTCTTAAGTTGATTTCTCGGCAATTTTTTTCAAAAAATCATAACTTTTGAAAGAAGAGCTCGATCGGCACAAACTTGACTCAGTCAATGATAAAATATAAGAAAACATGGGAGGATGGCTGTTCTGGATTTTATCGCACAGTTTCTGAATTTTTAGAATTTTTGCTTGAAAACCGAATTTCGGATGATCTCGTTCTTTCATTTTTATCTCTGCAACTTGAGCACGTTGGAAAGCTACACCAGAAGACTTTTGGAAACTACATGCTTTACGCTTTCAGGCAAAATTTGAATTGCGCAAAATCGTCGTAAGGGAAAGAAGTTATAACTTTTTGAAAATGGTGCGACAGAACTTTCGGTTCAACCTAATATATACCAAATGTGTTTAATTTTGAAATATGGAAATTTATCGACCCGCTAAAGTCATTTTCAGTAAGCTGAATGTGAGCTCCTTGTGACATGGTAAGTCTTAACTTTTGCCCTTCCGTTCGTTGGTGACAGATCTGTTCGGGAATTGCAAATTTGTTGATCGACTGGAACCTTGTCAAAGGTTATGAGAGTACGAAAAATGTGACAACGCTCATCACGATTGCTAATCTTCTATCCTAATTGTCTATGGAATTTTATTTGTTAATTTAGATGATGGCGTTACCTCTTGTTGGACCCATGTTGTGATATCAAACCGACCTCTGCACTGGTAACGTTTTCAGCGATCACTTCTCATTACAAGGTCGCGTAGATAGCGATCTCATCATTACTTGGCAAGTAGCAGACTTGGTCTTTGTAATGCTGCAGCTTGCTTATCCCTCTTTTATTTATCAATTCGCACAGCTTTTTCGCGAGCATATCCTTGTGTAGTCCTTTCAACTGAACTTATTTTACTCTCTCAGATTTTTGAACTCTGACGAGACTTTGCGATGGTCAAATGGTCAATTCTGCTCAAATCTTTACTTTTGAATATAGAGTGAAACTATAGTTTAAACGGACTGCTTCGCATATTGCTTCAATAGTTCACAAAATTTACCATTGTTCATTGAATATTAGAGTGAACGGCAGAAAACGGGACACCTAAAAAATAAGTTGAGATTTCTCAAAAAAGAAAAGTGATCGAACTTTCCAGTTTTGATAGATAATAGAATATACTGTTGTCTTTCAAAATGCATCCATATAAGGTCATAGCATATTGAATAGTTTTTATACTTGCTGAAGCAAAGTAGTCACTTCGACAGATTATGAACTTCGAGCAGTATCCTCAGGAAACATGTGAGACCACTCAGAGTCATCCAAAGTACCTTTTCTGCAATGGGTGAAGGTACAGTCACGAAACCCACGATGGCCTGCTGACCGCAACGGTTAAAGTCAATGGATGGTCACAAGCAGGGTCAAGCGTGGCGTGTGGCACGCCACACCTGAGGGGTCGTAGAGGGGTCAAATAGCGGAGGGTGGGGGGGGGCGTTATCGAGGTGATAGTGATGTTATCGACATTATGTCATTCAACAGTGTCTGATAGGCCCATTGACAAAATATCAGCGATGTTTTGGCCTACTGTCGCACACGCAAAGTAAGCCTATTAAAAAATTCTGAAAGCCCAAGAGCACCATTTTTGTAATTATCATGTCAAATAACCCCTGAGGGCCAAGTTTCAGCGGGGATTCCCACTTCAACTAACCCTCCAAACTGTGGATTCAAGAGCAAGCCAAATCTTGTCTGTCCCATTTTTCGCTTCCAATTTCTCAAACTAGAGAAGACCAATCGGCTCAAATCACTCTGGTGGAAGTTACGAGGATTAGGCTATCGAATACACTTGTTCTTGCCTCCTTCTCTCGCGATTCACGTTGTAGCGCAAACTAAGCATATTACCGTGAGCCAATATTTTCGAAGTGTCTTCCGTTTGCTTAGCTAAGGAAAAACGACTACCTTTATCTTTCCCTAAGAGAAATAATTTTGAACGGAATTCCTGCTAGATGGAGAAGAGAGTTTATCAGTAGCTGCGGGTGGAACAATCCCCAAAAAGCTGTGGCCGCCACAGAATTTTAGCGAACAGAATATCACCGACTCCCAGATTCGTAAGGAGGCTGGTTGCGGACTTCCCCGACGTTCAGGATATATTTGTTCAACCTCCACGTTATGGCATTGTATTTCGTACTCTGTCGTCGAGCTTATCCTCAAAATCAGGGAAGTCCGCAACCCGCCTCCAGACGAATCTGGAAGCCGATCATACATATAGTTTGATAGCCTGAGTCTTGTAGTTTTCATAGAAGTAATTTGAGCCTGGTCCATCTTCTTCGCACTGAGTAAAAGCTGGTGAAAGCGCAGCCATTAAAAGAAAAAAGTGGGACGAACGAAATATTGGCTGGTTCCTAATTCCATAGTTTGATGATTATTTGAAGCTTTCATGGTGTGGATAATTAAGGAGTAGTGCTTTGTACTAACTACAAAAAGAGTAAGCTAATTCACTTTCGAAATATATTTGATCATGTTCGAAAATGACCGCTTCACTTGGGTGGTGCAATACTGGGAACCCTCAGAATTTGCTGGAACTTGGCCCATGATGGTTATTTGACATGATAACTACGATTATGTTCCTAATTATGCATGGCAGAGCCTTTATGTCATGCCTAAAAGAGAAGATGAGGGGGGATGGAAAGAGCAGACAGGTGGGGGGCGGGGAAGGGTCGTATCCGACGCTTGTGTGCCACACCTCCTGCTCGACCCTGGTCATTAACATTTTTTGGAAGTCTGTCGAGTGTGGACACGTCGAGCACGATCACGTTTGAGCTGAATTT